ATGATGGATTCATGGCATATCTTGTGGCAAATTGTCTGACATTAAAACCATAGGCATGTACTATAAGTAGTGCTAATAGTCCTAAAAGGACTAAATCCATGTAATAATCATTGTTTTAAAAAAAGCGCTCTATGCATGCCTTGAGTTGAGGTGCACAAAAAATGTCTCAAGACTACAGCCTTACTAAGGCATACTCCTTTTTTTCTTTGAGGCATGTCTATCTAGACTTTATGCTTTGAGACATTTGAGGCCGCATTTGAATAAGGTTTTGTGAAAAAATTTTTATCATATAATCTTCTATTATAATATTAATATTTAATATATTATATTCTACCTATATTTAATAGACTTAGTGCAACAACTCAAATAACTCAAAAGGTAATTTAAGCATAATAAATTACCTAATAGTGTTATTAATTTATTATTTTATTTTAAATTATGTTGAATTCAATGTTAATTGATGTAGATAATAAGAAAAATAGATTGTGATTGAAAAGATTTAAAAGATGTCGACGAGACATAATTAGAGGATGATTCAATTATTATATATGTTGACTTTTCTGAAGAAAATGAAATTGAGGATGGAATTTTCCTGGCATATTTATTTGAAGTGCTTATCTTGAATCTTTTATTAAATCTTATTTTATGTTGATATATAAGATTGAGATGTATGATTTGTCTTTATTATGATGTGTTGAGTACATATATGAATGTTTTCTTATATGTTTGAATTATATTTAATTTTATCAGCTTTTTATTTTTCCATTTTGAGCCTTACTTTTCATCCTTCTTAAGGCTGACACCTTATCTCACTAAAGACAAAATGTCTTGTTTCTTGATACATCTTCAAACCTTTCCCTAAATGAATATTATGAGGATCTTTGAAAAAAAAATTGTCTTTGTATTCTTAGTTTTGACAGGTTGGAGAATTAGAGGGATGTCTCATGCAACTAGCCTTGATTCGATCCTCTAAATGTCAACTTATATACTTTGTGGCCTTTGTTGACATAAATGATATTTGTAATCTTGGCTTTAAGTTAAAGTGCCATGTCATTTTGGCTACAATTTTTAGTTTTCTTTTGCATGAAATCTTTCGAATATTCTTTTCCTGAATAATTCACCGCACTCTTGTTATTCATCGCATTCTATCTTATTTTTATTCAAGCCTCATTATAAAGTATAATCATTGTCATCGTAGTTATTGTATTCAAGGTCCAAATATTTATTTAGTTTCTTGGACTCGTATTATGATTTTCGAAGCTCCATACCCTCAATAGACTACTTAATAAATCATTTAGTTAAGTAAATGTCTTATCAGTCCTATCACTTAATTCCTTTAGTTGAAGCTCTCTAACAATAAACTTAAGTTCAAAAATTACAAGGAAATAGCTCTTGCTATGCATCATTGACTATATTTAAAAAATGCTGACTTATGAATTTTGTCTTTCCATTTCAATTCCATTTGTGTCACACTACACTATTTTATTATCATTTGACAACCCAAATCTATTTTCAAATAAGCGATGGATGTTCTCGCAATCCTCGCTGGGATTCAATTGTAATAGTAGATGTAAATTCTCCATGAGATAACCACTTGAAGTTACCTGATTTTAATCTTCTCCAAAAGCGGTGTTTTAACATCTATTGTTTGGTGATTGCGGTTTCAACATTCTCTACAATGACAGAGGGTATGCTTGCGCAGTTTTCCCACTGCTTTGCTTGTTGACCACCGTCAAATCTCTATTGACTACGATTTTCTTGCTGCTTTTCATAAATTTTGGCTGGAAGCCGCATTTTATAACTAAAACTACCAGACTATGGCTACTATTAGAAAGCTATTATTCAATTTTAAAAAAAAATATCTATTTTTAATTCTTGCAACAGCTTAAAAAAAGGTGATTTGCATACGACTTTATGATCATCTTTACCAAAAATTGTCGCTCTAATGAACTCATGAAACATAACTTTTCAGATCTTAGATCTGAACATGAAATTCAATTTGATTAATGCCAGTATTAAAAAATGCTTACACTCAAATCCAAATCCAAACTACTCAACTTCTAGAATTTATTTACAAGTCTCCATGTTCTGGAGATACTTAAACAAATTAGCCATCTAGCTTTAACTATTGAACCATGTCCACATTAAAACCGTGAAGTAAAATGATAGAACATTAAATGAGTGGATGTCATATTTTTAGCTCATCTTTAATTTATGAGATTTTTAATACATTGTAGGGTGGTATGATCAATGCTTTGCAAAATTTGACGATTTTAGGTCTTTCCAATAACAAATAAAACTAATATGTAGATCATTAAAGCTTTTAATCGTACGTGTGGAGCTTAAGTGCATAACACTTTTGAAAGTAACTCAATATGCGAGTAGAATGTTGCTTTGATGTTATGTGGTTTCACTATGGCATATGATCCAGTTTCATCAAGTTCTTGCATGCAAGCAAATTAATTTTCCCCTTCCAGAGAATAACATCAGTATAATTTAAAGAGTGTTTTCTTTTTCACTGACGTTTTATATAAAAGAAACTAACATCTATGAGAATAGAAGTATTAATTGTAATTTCTTGTAAAATCAATCATACAATGCATACACGATGAGTTTTATGAATAGTACAAACAAAACATTTTCAATTCTTCCATTGAAGCATGGAAATCATGGAAGAATGCCTTATAGATATGATCAAACTCACATATAGAAATAACATAATTGTCCAAAAAGTTTGGAATCACATACACAAAATAAAAATTCCCAAACAAAATACATTTTAGAACTTTCCCATTCTCTCCCCGATCACACTTAATTGAAAACATGCAAACAATTAATTTTTGAAAATCTAATGATAGAGTACTAAGAGATCATTGCCAATAAAAATATTCGATGGTGAGTTTGAGAATATTGTTGCTGTGTAAGAGGTGGTGGGAGATAACAAATATATTATCATTATGATAGCATCAAATGAGCAAGAGAAGTTGACGGAGAATTCTATAAAGGCATTCGATGGTTTTGACATGTTAGATGCACTTAGATGAGGGTTTGATTACTAGAGTACGCGGGGAATCACTTGAGGTCATGGGTCCTAATCATTGAAGAACATCAACTAAGTCTAAGGATAGCACCTTGATTCTAGGTAGATGCTATAGTGATATTGTGATCGTAATGGGAAATAAATGATTTGCTAGCAGTGGATAAGTGTAAAAAAAATAGGTTTTTATTTATTTATTATCATTATTAGTTTTTTTTTTTTTTTGCGATGCTAAAATGTTTTAGGTGCTTACGAAAACTAATTGGAAATACTCAAAATAAAACCTTATGATAGAAGTGTTGTAAAAGGGTTAAATTTGGTGTAGTTTTAAGTATCTTGGTTGTGCTATAGAGAAACACCACGATTTTAATGTGGACATGGTTCAATAGTTAAAGCTAGGTGGCTAATTTGTTGAAGTATCTCCAGAACATGGAGACTTGTAAGTAAATTCTAGAAGATGAGTTGTTTGGATTTGGATTTAAGTGTAAGCATTTTTTAAAACTGCTCAATTCGATGCGCCTCTCCTATGCTCTTTTTTCTTAAAAATCACAATAAGGCTTACATCCATTGTCCTCCCCCCCAAAGCTGATGCGTCTCATCTCTATTTTTTGAGGCGGTATATAGTTTTTCTTTTAACAAAAGCTAAAAAATAATAACAATATATTCAGCCTTAACCCTCACACCTTACACATTAGCCAACAAGAATTAAATAGAAATGATATCCATAAAAATTATGGCTCGAAGTTCTAATCATCAATATAATTATTATTGTGTTATAATTGCTTAATATTTTATTTTGTTTTCTTAGCTTATTTTGATAGTTTGATGTTTGTGTAACTCATCCTCTTTCATCATTTAATTTTAGGATGTTAACATACTGTTTCAATTTGTATAATGTATTATTTCCTACTTTGTTAAGATAATGATATATTATTTTTTAATATATTAATATATTACGATGTTAAATTTTTATGTTTTACTTTTTGCTTTGAAGTTTACATAATACTCCTTTCTTTACACAAATTTTTTGAACACCTCAAAATGCTTTGAGTCTTACGAATTGTTTCACAGAAAAAATACGTAATTTTAATGGTTGAGTATGAGAAAATTAAGAAGTCATATATAATCAAGATTGATGTGATAATAATGAGAATGTTGAGATGGGTACCTTATAAAAATAAGATAATGTAAGAAAAAATGAGTTGCACTTTGGTTTGGGGTTATAGCACCGAGGATATCTGATGAAATACCAATAATTTGACAATTGAATTATGTTGAATAAATAGAAACAGAAAGTGGTAAACTAAAGGGTAATATAGCTAAATTTGTTGCGAAAAAGAGTTGCGGAAAATAGATTTCTTCTTATTGCTTCATGCAGCACTTATTTGGAATGAATGGAGGATTAATTAAAAACCCAATGCCATTATTGGATAAGTAACTTCAACTTATATGGGAAGTCCTTATGAATTATGTTATTATTTTTGTTAGAAGTAAACAACTTATTAAAATTTTCTCTCTTCTCATTTGAGTGTTTTATTCTATAGGAAGATAGATTTACTGGCTTATCTATGTGTTATTTGGTTACTAGGAACTAGGAACTAGCTAAAGTTAGGTTCTTGCTTTTGCACTGAGATGGTAGTATGCATGTATGCTAATATTTTAAAAATTAATTGCTTTTACTAGTATGGCATGGAACATGTTTACTTTAATCAGTACACTTAAACTGCCATTCTTTATAAAATGCTTTTCTTTTTTATGTTTTTCAATTCGAGGTGTTTGCTTGCATTCATAAGATCTTTTAGCTCATTAATATTTAAGTTTGCAGAATTTTCTTGAAACTTTTTTTATTTTTACATGTTATATGTTACAGAGTCGTAGCTCTAATTTAATATGTAAACATTCAAGCAACTATATTGCTTATTTTCTTTTATTTCCTTTCTCATTATGCTTGCTCATTTTGTAGATGATTTTCGATTATTTTGTGGAGATCTTGGCAATGAAGTTAATGATGACGTCCTTTCAAAAGCGTTTTCCAGGTTTCCATCATTTGTTATGGCGAGGGTAAGGTTTCACTTATGATTTGCATTGAAACATTTGTGCTACAGAAGTATCTTGTTTGCTTGTTACATTGAATTGTTCTGATGTTTCATTTTGTTACAAAAAAAATTTTGATGTCACATGTTGCTAATGCAAGAAGTCGGCCAACTATTAAAGCTCTGAGTAAAAAGATAACTAACTGTTGATAATCAAAGTTTTGTGATGAAAGGTTAATGAAGTCTATTAATTAGACTTTTTATTAGTGATGATTTTTTTTTAAGATTTGCGTTTGTAATATTTTGTAAAATATTTGTTATTTTGAAAAATATGAATTTCAAAAACTGAATGTTTGAAACTCTAAAATTCAATTTTTTGAATTTGAAATTTGATTTTTTAAATTAGTGAAAATTTATTTAAAATTCATAGAGAATAATTAACTAAAAATTAAAATGATTTATTAATTATTTTTTACACAAGAGTGGCTAGCCACCACCCATTTGGAGCATAGTTATGGGTGGTTAACCATATGTAAGTGGCCTCTTCTCATCCACAAATTTGGCCAGTTCTCTCTCCCTCTCTTCAATCCTTTTTTGTCATTTTTAAATTATCTTTTTTAAAAAACTTTTATATTTAATTTCTTTAATGAAAAGTGGGGCTTGGTGGGCGTCTTCACCATGAAAGAAAATTTTTGTGTTCTCTTTCAACTATTCACTTTGATGAATAATTAGATTATTATTTTTTTTGTATAAATCATATTATTTTTTATTGTGTTTTTTGTCTACAATAATTCCCCCACAAAAGAATAATTTTTCCCATAATATTTGTCCAGAAAATTCTAAGCTTTGTCCAGTTGGGTCTGCCGGTCATGATTTTCTTAGAACGAGATGTAGTCTTATTCTAAATGCCAGTTAATGGCCTTAAATCTCTTAACAATTTTTTGAAAAGCCTGTTTTTAATGTTGTCGGCAAAACAAGGGCATGCTTTACTTGACCCACCCTCTTGAATTTTTTTTTTAAAAAACTTCATAAATTCTTTGAAAATTTTGAAAATTTTTCAGATTACATTTAGATTGACTGCTCTAATATTTACAAGGAATCTAAGTTTGGAATTATCCCATTTTCTTACACTATAATTTTAAAGTGAAAAATAGTGCTATTGTTCTGGATAGAGCCTTAGTCTATCAGGTCGACTCCTTAGTTGTCCTAATTCCTAGTCCACATTAAATTTAACCCCACCAAAGCTTCTATATAGCTTTTCTATGCCTCATGGAAATTTTTTTGAATTTTAGTTGACCCCCACAAGTGGGTCAACCACATACTACATCATTTTTTTTTACGAGCTTTTAGTCCAGTAATTGTTTGGGAAATTTTTTTTTGTGAGTGATTTTATGGTGAGTATTTGCATTTTATGATTTATTGAAGAAGTCATAAAATTTATAATTAGCTTCTTATGATTCTTAGTTGTTCTTTAGTAAGAACCTGAGTGATCATAAATTTTTGGCTTTAGTTTCAAAGTTGATAATTTACCCCATTACATCCGTAACCCTTGTTTTTACCAATAAAATCCACCTACCTTACCTCCAATAGCATCATGCACTTCAATATTTAAACAAAAAAAAAAAAAAATGAGCACGATGTATGATGGAGTTATAAAACCTTCTTATTTGCATGAAAAATCTTTTATAGGAGATTAAAATCATGACGTATATGCAACCCAATGCTGAATTTTTTATTTGGAGAATCGCCAACAAAATAAGTATTCCACCATCATTGAGGCATTACTTGGACACATCTACTTAGCTCTTAATAGAAGAGTTCTTTTAAAGTCAAGTGGGATTGATGTGGCACAAGGTCTAATCTATGAAGTGGGCTAACTACTAGAATTTAGAGTAAAGGGATAGTTGTAGTGTTGAAACTGAGAATAAAGAGGAATAAAACATAGTTCAGAATAATTTCATTGATATGAAAGGGGGTATAAATAACCCTTACTTGAATCATAAAATAGGAAAGATAATAATAATAAAAAGAAATAACATCAAAAGGAAAGATATATCATCTAAAATCTCCAATAATTAAATCATATTAATTATTTGGAGATAAAAAAATAACATAAAAAATGAAAGCCTAAAATAAGAAGGAAATAACTCCTAATCTAAGGAAATAAACATAAATTAGGAAAGGAAATAACTCCTTAATCTAATGAAATAATTTAATCCTCATAATTTTTCGCGGGAATAAATTATTTCCTAGTGTAACTGCTAACATGTAGTAAAAGGATAGTTGTTGATCATCAAAGCCTAGTAAAAGGATAGAATTTTTTATTTTACGAGTAATGATTGTTGTGTTTGAAAAAACCTGTAATTATGAATTTCAAATTTTAAATATTTGAAAACTAAAATTCAAATTTCTTGATTTGAAATTTGATTTCTCAAGCATATGAGGGAAGAATCACGTAAAATCAATGATTAAAATTATCATTTAATCATTTTTTACTCAAGAGTAGTGGAACAACATTCCTTTGGAAAGTGATTATGGGTGATTACACGTGTAACTAGCCTTTCCTCGGCAATACACTTGGCTAGCTCGCCCTCCTTTCTTTATTTTGTCATTTTTGAATTTTCTTGTCTTAAAATTTTTATATTGGATTTATGAAATGAAAAAGAAAGTTTTTTGGTTGTAATATTATAATATCTAAAGTGAGAAACATTGAAGGGGATTGGCTTGGTGGCCGGCCTCACCATAGAAAGAGGTTTGGTGATCTTTAATAATTAGTTATTTTTGTGAATGATTATATATATAGTCCTTGTATGCACTCATTTCTTCACAAAATAAAGGATTTACCCATAATATTTGCCACAAAAATTTAATTCTAATCTAGTTCGGGCTGTCGGCCAAATTTCGCTTTCCAAAAGATTTAGCCTTGTTCTAGAGATTAATTGACAGCCTTAAATCCTTCAAAATTTATTGAAAACTCTAGATCAAACTAATAATCCATTCATCCTTTTACAAGTGTTTCCAGCACTTTCCTCTCACCTTAAATCACTTGTCTAAAACCTTAAATCTACTTAATGTGCTTTCAGCATGCCAAGAGTTTAACTTGTCCCAGCCTCTTGAAAATTTTTGGAAAAAAATACTTACAATGTTTAAACTATTTTCAAATTCTTCTGTTCACATCTAGATTCACTCTTCTTACATTTCCAGGGGATTCCATTGAAATGTCCTATTTTCACGTACTATAATTTTAAAGCGACAAATAATGCTCTCTAGGTGGATAGATCCTTAGCCTAGGCTGACCTCTTGGTTGTCCTAATTTCTAACTTCACATTGTAGCCTATATATCCTTCTTAGGCCTCTAGGGTATTGTTATGAATTTGTTTGATCTTTATCAAGATGTCCAACCATAGGCCACGTCAATTCTCATTTGCTTGTTATCGATCAATTTTTCTTAAGGTTTGTTACCTTTTTTTATTGTACTCATTAATGGCTAATAAGGTCTATGCTGATGTTTTTTAATTTAATTTTCCTTAGGAAGGATATAAGTTAATAAAATCTTATATTTTTCAACATTATTGTAAAGAATCCATTTATCTAACTTAAACTGTTGGGATATGAAGTTAATGTTGATGAGGATTGGTGATCACTTGTGAGAATCCATTGCTTATTTGTATATGGGTTCAATTTTTTTCTTTTCAATAAACTCAAGTAAAGTAGTTTTGGGTTTATTAAAAAACTCTAGCACTGTATACATGGTTCCAAAACTTTGAATGTAACTTGGTGATTGTTTGTTTTGTTTGAATTTTTTTTTGGACATGTATATGATATGAAAGAGTG